AAATAGTGTAAGTAGTATGAACCGATTTTAGTCAGACATAAATTTTAATTTGTGCTTACAGCAATAGTAGAAACCATTGTAAGTCAGACGTTAATTTTTCCATTAAGTAGTATGAATCAATTTTAGTCAGACATTATTTTTAATATGTACTACTAATAGTAGTACAAAGCAATTTAAGTCAGACGTCAAATTTTTCTTCTTTCATTATTAAGTAGTAAAAATAAAATTTGATAAGCTATTTAACTTGAACAAAAAACCTTTTAAGTAGTATAAGCTAATAATAGTCAGACATTTAATTTACAACTACTTATAAAATAGTAGAAATTAATTTACTTTCCTCTTCTCTCGTAAGTAGTATAAATCAATGTCAGGCATAAATTTCTAATTAAGTAGTAAAATTCAGACATCAAGTAGTAAAGGTCAATTTTAATCAGACGTAAAAGATATAAATTAAGTAGCAAATACTAATTTTAGGCCGACATTATTTTTACATTTATTTGGAAAGTAATAGAAATTAATTTTCTGACAATGTAAATTGAACCGCCGGATCGTAGAAGGGCATATAGCCAATGTAATTCAAATGGGCTATATGCCCTTCTACGATCCGGCGGTTCAATTATAGATTCGCCTAACGAGTAGTAGAAGTCAATTTAAGTCAGACGGTCATTTTTACTATTAATAATTAGGGTTATTTATTCCATGCAATAAAAGTTTGCCAACTTTATTGATAAAAAAACATAATTCAGTAGTAGAGGTCAATTTAAGTCAGACACTAATTTTTACGACGCTTAATTAAGTAGTACAAGTACTTTTAGTCAGACATAAATTTAAACCTCACAGTTTTTCTAAGGATATCAAATTGACACAAAAAAAGTATCAAAATAGTTGCGAAGCAACGTTTTGATACGTTTTTTGTCTCAATTTGATATCCTTAGAAAAACTATGCTCATTTGTAATTTAATTAAAGACAAATGTGAAAAGTGATAATCAATATTTTTCGGAAGGTTGATTATAAACCATTTTTAAGTATTTTTAAGTAAAAAAAAGTTTTTGCAAAATTCGAGGCAAAATTTTCATGATAACAATAAAAAAAAGGGTTTTTAGTAAAAAAGGAGAAAAGAAGTAAAAAAAGTAGAAAGAAAGAGAAACGAAATTTAAAAAAAGTCTACTGGTATAAAATTCTATTAAGTTTATCTGTTTATTAAAAAAACATTTTACATATTTTGAAAACAAAACAAGTGACTTTATTTTCCCTCCCAAGAAAATATAAGTAATTTCGTGAATTGATTTACATTTATAATTAAAATTCAGGGGTAAAAGAAAAAAAAACGAGTTCATTGAAGAATTGTATTTTTGTTAAAAAAAGGAAAATTTCTACATGCACCTTTATTTGCATGGCTCATTAACCAGGAAGTTGTGTCGTCAACTACATTCCAAGTAACTAAACAAAGTACCATCCCTCAGCCTTTTTAAGCTGCCGGCTAGTATGCCTTAATTGCGGGTAATTTTCCCTTGTCTCCCCACTTTTTTTTTCATCTCTCTTCCATCCACTATCCATCTTTTTCTCGCACTCACTTCACTTCACTTTTTCATATCTATTGTCTCTCTCATTCCTTTCCAGAGTATTTAATTTTCTTTCCCCTTTTTTTTCTATTAAAAAGCAGTGACGAGTTTTTTTTGCCTTTAGCCAGACATGATTATAGAAGAATTTATTATTAAAAGTAGATTTTCTAGAAATATAGCGATGAGACTTTTTTTGTTATTATAATTATTATTATAATCATATTTTTATTTCTTAAGATATTCTCAGCTTTTCTTATTTTTACTATATGGGTCTTGTTTAAGCAGAAGATTATTCTTGTATATATATACATTGGAAAATATTCTTGATAGATAAGCGCAAGGAAGTCCTTCAACTTTTCATGAAGTTATCTTAATTACCGCCTTGATATAATATTTTCACATTTTCGTTTACTTAAAAGACATTAATTTCCTTTGAAACAGATTTTTTTTGGAGTAAATTTATTTTTAGTTTAAATGAAATATTAGGAAAATGTTTTTTTCAAAAATTGAATTATTTATTATTTCTTTTTAAGTAGTACCTACGACTCAACGTCAGACATAATTTTCTGTCAATTTAGTAAGTAGTATAAAAAAAATCAGACATTAAATTTAGTTTACAGATTGATTTAAAAAATTAACATTCTATCAGAAAAAATTTTTATTTTAACAAAAATTTTATTTAGAATTAAATAATTAAATTTAGAATTATATATCAATTTTAAGTAGTAGAAGTCAATATAAGTCAGACGTTGATTTTTACTATTGACGATTAGGGTTGTTTACAAAATGCAAGAAAAAGTTTGCAAATTGATAAAAAACGAGATCAAGTAGTAGAAGTCGATTTAAGTCAGACACTAATTTTTACTGTTTCTAATTAAGTGGCACAAGCAATTTTAGTCAGACATCAATTTTAACATTATTTGTAACTTTTAAATTAATAGAAATCAATTGATTTCTATTTAAAAGTTACAAATAAGGTTTAAATTATCCTTTAAGTAGTACAAATCAATATCAGACAAATTTCTATTTACCAAGTAAGTAGTATAAAAAAAATAATCACGAAGCTTCATTTTTGTTAGTTTTATCAAAAAAAAAACTATTATATTAAATATCCCAAGGGAGACTTTTCATTCTGTTTCATTTTTTATCATTTCATTATTATTTATTTCAATACAAAAAACGATAATAATAAATGTCTCTCAAGGGATTTATTTTTTTAATACAAAGAACAAAACTAATAAATAATATTAAATTTCTATTTTTAGATGTTTTTTTTCAAAAATTCGTACAAATTGAAAAAATTCCCCTTTCTTATCATTTTATTTTAATAAAAAAAAGGACTCTTGATAAATATCTCAAGGACATTTTTTCTTTAATGGTGGGACAAAATTTTTTTACGTTATAGTAATGTAACTTTTATGGTAGAGGCGTTTATCTCGTTTAGTGGCTTTAATGTCACTATATAAAATTATTGATCCACTAAAGAGAGTTGAACGATTAATATCTTGCTCATTTTTAAGTAGACTACTTATTTTTAGACAAGTTCGACTGTACTTTCTCTTTAACTTGTTCAAAAACCGATATTGTCAAACGCCCCCCCCCCCTCCATCGACCCTTCCTCTTCTCCTTTCATTTTCACTTACATTGACAATAAAGAAATGGTACAGTAGACAAAATAATTTTCCAAACTTATCTTACCGATACTTTCTGACATTTCGAAAAAATAGAAAATTAAGGAAAAGTAGATAAAAAAATAAAATAAAAATTAATTGCAAAAAATGTAAAAATATATTTTATGAATTATATTCTATATATTATTAGGATTATTATTATTATTATTATTATTATAATTATTATTATTATTATTATTATTATTATTATTATTAAATTCTGTTTTTAAGATATATTCTTTATTTGTAAATAAATAATCACAGACATTTCTTTAACTTATGCTGGTCATTAAGTAGTAAAGGTCAATTTTGATCAGACCAGAAAAAGTAGAAAATTTTAACGTTGCTTCAAAATTTTATTTATTATTATTAAGTAAAATTATTAAAAATAATTTTTACTGACTTATTTTGTTTCCTACTATTGCTAAATAATTTTTTTTTAATATAAATTTCCACTTTTAAGTAGTATTAACCGAATGTATTTAGACATTAGTTTTTAGAAGTTTATAATTATAGATATTTTAGATAATAAAATGAAAATTTAAAAAAAAATTTTACTTCATTTACATATTTATTTACTCTTTAAGCAGTAGAAATTAATCTTAGTCAGACTCGATTGTAAAATAGAGTGAAAAAAAATCTATGTCTCTTTAACTTGAAATTGAAATTTTTAATGAAATTTTTTAAAAATATTTGTCCTTTTCTACTTTTGATATTAATACTGATATAATCGCTACATAAAATATAAATTATTTTATTACAGAGAAAAAGATAAGAAACAGTAAAGTTAAAAAATTCGAATTAATTTTTTAATGTAAAAAAATTTTATTTAGTTTCTTTTAAATTAAAAAAAAAATTTATTTAGTTTCTTGTAAATTAAAATTAAATTTACGCACGTAATTATGCAAAAAGGTGAAACAAAATTTGTCTTTCTTCTTTTTCTAGGTGAACAATAAAGTATGAAAGTGGATTCATTAGGAAACCGAGTCACCAAAACGGAATTAGGTAAGACATCACCTGCTACTAGCTCTTTGGATAAATGTCTGTTTCACGTTCCTGTTTCTTGCTTACTTGTGAAAGTAAATTTAAATTGCTTTGCAATCTAATATAATTCGGAATTTTTTTTCTTCCACCACGAATTAAAAATAATCTTCTATTCTCTCAAAAATTATCATTTTCAATTAAAAAGATTTCGTTTTTATTTTATTTGTTTTATTCCTTTTATTTCAAATTCTATTACTGCTATCTAATATACTAAAACTAAATACAAAGTACCTAATTTTAATCTTATAAAGATTTTTTGGACAATTTTCCACATAAAATATTTTTCCTCTTTTTTTAAAAAATAATTTCAATGCAATATTTTTTCCTTTTGATAATAACTTGAATATTCCTCTCTTTGATGATTATAAATATAGTTCAATGCCAACTTATATTTATTACTCTCTCTCTCTCTTTCTCTTCTTTTTTTTATTTTGGCTGTATAATGAAAAATTGAAATAAAAATTCTCTGAGGGGGGGAATTGATATAATCGCAGAAACAATTTCACAAAGAGAATAGAAACTATTTTTTTTTTATTTTTCAATATATTTTTCTTTCTCTTTATATTCATAATTTCGACAACAATGCAAGACTGAACAGAAATAATGAGAATTTTTTTTCCCATCGTTTGAAAAGGGATAAATTTTGCAATTTATAATTTTCACTTTAAGATGGAAGAAAATTTTGTAAATGTAAGAGAAAAATTAGAGAAAAACAAAACTTACCGTCAATGTCTATTTCTTGTAACATTGTTCTAAGTTCTTCGGCTCTTGCGAACTGGCCTAAGGAACGCATAACTCTACCAAGTTCCTCTTTCGTGATGCTGCCATCTCCATCCTTATCGAAGAGCCTGAAGGCTTCTCTAAATTCTGTAACACAACAAGAGTTCTAAACAAGAATTCTTAATGTTAATTTTAATTTATTCTAAAATCATAAATTAAAAGTTTATTAACATATACACGTAAACATTCCACAAAAATCATATTTCCTAGATTTTATTTTTTTTTTAAAATTTTTATAGTTTTTAACTAAAAACTTTATTTAAAAAATAAAAAACTTTGGAAAAATTAATTTTGTTATTATTATTATTAAATAGTAGACCTAATAATAAAATTCGATGAAACGTTTAATTTAAAAAGGAATCTTTTAAGTAGCATAAACTAAATCAATTGTTTTAATAAAATCCAAAATTTTTTTAAAATAAAGGAAAAAACGTCTATAAACTATATTTGTCAATTAGAAAATTTAATTGAAAATGAAAATTTTTGAATTTTTAGAAAATAAAGGAAAAAAATTTATTGAAAAAAATGTTCTGTTAAATTTATTTACGAATATGTTTAATTCTAAAATTATTCGAAAACAATAATTTTTTTTTAATATATTTAAAATATCTAAAATTTAAACTAAAATTCATTTTCAAATCAATTTCAATTATTTAAATAGAAAAGTAAATTATTTATTGAATAATTGAATGTTTCTTAAAATTTAATTCTTATTTAAAGAATTTTATTGACGAATTTTTAAATAATTGAATTCTTTCGACGAATTTTAATAAAATTTTTTAGAGGAATTTTTCAAACATTTTTCAAGGACATTTTTCAAAGGAATTCGATTAAAATTTTATTAAAAATAATTGAAATTCTGCGATGAGTTTTATTATTCCTGAAAATAATTGAATTATTGAGAAGAAACTTATAAAAAAATTTGTAAATATTTAAATTCCAGTGAAATTTTTATTATTTATGAAAATAATTAAATGTTTGGGTACAATTTTATTAAAATTGTTTTTAAATAATTAAATTCTTTTGGCTAATTTTATTTAAATACTAGATATTGAATATCATTGAAATAAGGAAATTTTTTGAAAATAATTGAAACTTTTACAAGAATTTTATTAAAATTTTTAAAAATAATTGAATTTTGTAGAAGAATTTTTTTTTATATAAAGATAATAATTGGGATTTTGTCGAGATTTTTTTGTAAATTTGAAACATAATTGGATTTTGTAATAAGAATTTTATTACTTTTAAAAATATTTGAAGTTCTGCAATAATTTGTAGGTAACTTCTTCAAAATTCAATTTTTTTTTAGTATTTTTAATTAAAATTCTTCTATAAATCCATTATTTTGAATAATTAATTTTAAAAAATTTAAGAATTTAACTTATTTTAGAAGATTGTGAATTTAAAAATTTTTTTTAATAATTCAAGTTTATTAAAAATTCTAATGAAATTCATTCAACATTGAAATTTTATAAAATTTCAAATTGAAACTTCATTTATTTATAAAAATTGTAAATGCAACTCTTTTAAAATTGAATTAATTTTGAAATATTTAAGTAAAATTATTCATTAAATAACTATATATATTCCAATTCATATTTTATTTAAATATAAAAAAAATTTGAATAAAAAATTTTTACGTCCTATTATTTTTAAAATTGATAATTTTATTTAAAAAATTGATTAAGATTGTTGCTAGTCAGACATTAAATTTATGACTAATTATGAAAAATAGAATTTCATTTTAAAAAATACATAATTTACTGTTTCCTTGTAAGTAGTACAAGTCAATATCAGACACAAATTTCTATATAATAATTAAAGAGTATAAATAAAATTTAATTTTAATTATTAGGTTATTAAGTAGTGTAAACCAATATTAGTCAGACATAAATTTTAACGCACACTTATTATCTACTCTAAACTGTATTATTAATAAAATTTAAATATTGATAAATATTTTTCAGATGATAATTTTAAACAGTATTTACCATTTTTTTTTTTAATCCAAAAAAGTTTTACAAAATTTTAATAACAGAAATAAAAAAGGTGTTTAGTAGTAGAATTAAATTTAGGTCAAACACTAATTTTTACGTATCCTAATTAAGTAGTACAAGTCATTTTGGTCAGACATTAATTTCAACCTTATTTGTAAAATTAATAGAAACAAATTTTCAGTGAATTTTAACATTACTATTTCCTTTTAAGTAGTACGACTCAATATCAGACATAAATTTCTATCTATTTATTGAGTAGTATAAAAAAATCAGACATTGAGCTTAAATTTCTTTATTGATAATTAAAAATAATTTTTGTTAGACAAAATTTTCGAAAGCTAACTTATTAAGTAGTAGAAATTAATTTTGATCAGACGTTAATTGCAAAAGAGATCTATTGAGTAGTACAAACTAATTTTAGTCAGACATTTCTTTTGATTCTTGTTCGAAAGCATAATTAGAAGGATTCTGTTTAGAAAGGAAATTAGTTTTACATAAATATAAATTATAATTTTATTTATCGAGTAGTTGAAGACAATTTAAGTCAGACGTTGATTTTATAAAATCATCCTATAGGATGATTAAGATTATTTATTAAATAAAAAAATGTTTGTCGCATTTATTTACAAAGAAAAAGGGGAAAATAATATTAACGCAGAAATAAAATTTTCTAAATAATTTTGCAATGTACTTAACTAAGAAAAAAAAAATAAAAATAAAAGTAAATATTTTTTATTTACATGATTTTATTTCAATTTTATTGTCCTCGAACATGTCGCTGATACAATGGGATAAATTATTGACTACTTGATTGTTATTTTGATATCCTGATGTCGTAAAGCTATCACCATGTTCTGAGGCCATTACTACTATGGGTACAAACGTTCGATTGATTTCACATCACTGAAGCTTGACACACAATCATTTGATAGCCTCGTTTCATGGTCCATTGAACTTGTACCTCTCCGCATGTCTCTTCCTCGAGTTTCTTTACCGATGTTTCCGCATTGAGGAATATGTAAATTAACATACAAATGTCATATGTTCCTTATTTCAAAAGAGGCACTTAATTATTCTTTTTATTAAGGACGCATCTTCATCACAAATACTTTTTTTTTTGTTCAAAATTTGTAAGAATGGAATGTGTTAATAAAAACAAAAATTCTATTCCACATTGCAGAGGCTTTTGTACAGTTCAAAGAACTTGAGTAACTTTGAACAATATTACACGCGCCGTGGTCGAATGAGAGAGAAAAAAAGTTTCTTTTTTTTATAAACCCCATCTTGGGAATATTAACAAAAGCTTTTTGCGAGGTGAAAATGTTGCTTTTCTGCATCGTTTGATAGATTTTCATTTTCACATTATGAGCCCATAGAAAAATCTTATGTAGAGTACATTATAAACGAGTATTTAGTTTTTTAGAGTTTGTGAGGTTTGCAAAAAAAAAAAAAGTTGGAACGTTAAATTGAAACTTGAGAATATTTTTAATTAATTGTTACGTAATAGTTTTTTTTTAATTATTTTTTTTCTTCTGATGTTCGATTTATAAGGAGAGTTAAATTAAAATACCGATATTAATAGTACACAAAAATATTATTTAATAATACATAAAACTTTTATGAATTTATTTTACTTTTATTTTTAAGTATTTTTTTAAAATAAATAGTCAATTTTTTCTTCATTTATTATTATTAAATAGTAGAATAAAATAAATAAAATTTGATCAGACTTTCAATTTAAAAAGAAACCTTTTAAGTAGTATAAACAAATTATAATCGGACATTAAATTTACGATTATTTATAAAAAATATAAATAAATTTCAAAAAATTAATAATTTACTGTTCCCTTGTAAGTAGTACAAGTCAATATATTAGTCAGATGCAATTTTTATCTACTTTTTAAGTGATAAAACTATAATTTAGTGAGACTTGTTAACTTTCCGGACTTATCGAGTATTATGAAATAAATTCACAATGTCACTTTATTATCTAGTAGTTATAAAGAGAGTTATTTGATAATTATATTTGTTTTTTAATTATGAGTTATTTATTATCTACTCATTAAGTGGTATGAACCAATTTTAGTCAGCCATCTATTATATCATGTGCTTATTTAAATAGTGTACAATAAAATAGTGTAAAACATGTTTCAGTAAGTTATCAAATTATATATTTATTTATTGAGTAGTAAAAAGAATGTCAATAAAATTAACGAATCTAACTAATTACTTAAATTTATTAACTAAATTGAGTAATTAAATTTATTAATTAAATTATTTAATGAAATTAATTATTTAAATTAACTGATTAAATTGTTTAATGAAATTAATTATTTAAATTAACTGATTAAATTGTTTAATGAAATTAATTATTTGAATTGATCAATTAAATGATTTAATAAAATTAATTAATTAAATTGATTAATTAACTTAATCCATTATAAATAGTGTATGCCTATTTTTTAAGTAAGTTTCATTTCCAGAGTTTAGAAGATACAAATTTTACTTAGAAGCTAATTTTTAATACACTTGAATGTATCAAGTAGTAGAAGTCAATATTAGTCAGACAAGATTTTACTTTTAATTACTTCTTTAGATTTACTGATTTATTTTTTTAGTTACAAAAGTTTACTTAGAGGCTAATTTTTAATACAGTTATTAAGGGTAGGTGGTCATTTTTTCTAAAAAATATTTTCTACTCTTTTTTGTTTAAAAAAAAATCGATTTCTCATGAAATCTGTTTTCTAAAAAACGTTTTTCTAACAAATTTTGATTTCTAAAAAAAGATTTTCTAAAAAGTTATGATTTCTATAATATTCATTTTCCTAATATTTGTAAAATTCCATAATTTTGATAAAAGTTAGAAAATTGTTAAAAAATTAAGATTAAGAAATAGAAACTATTTTGCATATTTTCTGTTTCTCAATTATAATATTGTTCACAAACTCATCCTTTTATTTTGGGAAAAAAATATTACATATTCCCGTTTCTTTAATATTTTTGTAAAAAATTTTTAATTTTCAGAAGGAAATAATTTACATAATTTCTATTTCTTAATTACAATTTTTTTAATAAAATCCAAAGTTTTTT